GCCATCAGTTTATTGGGTTCATTAGATTCTACATATGGGTGAGATCATGTGATACTTGTCTTTCTCTGACTGGCTTATTTCGCTCAGCATAATACTCTCCAGTAAGTGGTTTATAGAAACAAGCCTTTCACTCTCCCCCCTTTCCTGCCCAAGAAATTCAGAGAAACCTGCTTCAGGAAGGAGTTGTTGGGCTGCTGCTTAGCCTAACCTGAATTAAATATGGTAAATGAGAGGGCGTCAGGCAGGTGCCTCTTAGCTGGATATCTTGTTTCTGAGTTGCCTAGCAAGGATTTGCCTGCCTTGTGTGTTCTGCTCTTCAACTCCCTATAAACCGGCCACTCTCATTTCTGAAATCTAATCCCCCGTTCCCCACCCACCCCCCTCCCCTCCTTTGTCCAAATAATGTCTTATATACCCAATGTCGCCTCCCTGTCTTTGGAATTTTCATGGCATTATCATGCCTAGGAGAATTCCCCGTGGGAATGTACATTAAACTTTGACTTTCTCCTGCTAATCTGTCTCTCTGTTCATCTGATTATTAGCTCAGTCTAGAAGTTAAACGGTGGGAGGAAAAGTATTAATATATATATTTTTAGCCCCCACGATTTTAAAACCCTTTTTAAACAGAAATGCATTCCCTCGCAGCGCTGGAGCCTGGGAGTGCGAGGTCAGGGTGTCTGCAGGGTGGGCCTCGGAGGTCTCCGTAGATTAGGACCCTGTCCACACACAGCCCTACCCTCCTCTTCCCAAAAGGACACGCCCGATCAGACAGGGCCGCTCTATCAGCCTCATTCCAACCAATCACCTCCAACTGGTCACTGGCGAAGGTGCTGGGCGTCAGGGCTCCCACATGAATTCGGGGGACACCGGTCTGCAATCAGGAGGGGTGATCCTCTCTGTAGCCTGGCCCCCAGGGACCTGAGCACTACCCCTGCCATTCGGCCCCGAATCCGGCCCCTCGTGTCTCACCACCACAGCTCCTCCTCTCACCGCCATCTCCCCTCTGGTCTGGTTCCTCTCAAACCCAAGCAGGACTCTAAGGACGTCCCCCAGGATTCTCCTCCCTTCCCGTGTTCAATCAGACATTCAGCTTAGCACTGCCAGGAAGAGACCGTTCAGACCGCCTGAAAACAGGATGATCCCGGTCACCCGGGTGGGCCCCGCTTAGGAACCGGAGCCCTGACAAGGCCGAGGCCCCACGCGGCGCTCCTCCTGAGACCGGGGACGGCCGGGGGGGCCCCTACTCCATTCCCCGCTTCTGAGGGCACTGGAGGATGGGTCTTCACCGAGGAAAGGTTCCAAAGGCAGTGCGGGTTCCCCGGGGGAGGTGCGGGGAGGGAGGCGCGCCTGCACCTCTCCGAGCTCCGCGGACCCAGCCCCGCGCGACTGCAGGAGAAGCCTCGCCCACCGCCTTCCCCTCCAGGCCGCGGTTTGCGCGCTGGGCATGCCGGGGCCGGGGCCGGAGTCGGGGTGGGCGCTGGGACCGCAACCCGCTGACAGGGGCGCCGCTGGCGCTGGGCAATGCCGGGGCCTGGAAGAAAATTTTTTTTATAAGCTCCCATCCCCGCCCTAACTTATGCAGCATTTCACCTCAATTGTGTAT